ATGTTGATTCAGTAAATTGCATTCCAAGTGTATCATGTTTTAAAAGTGCATAAGTGGCCAACGTGAGCCTAAGTATTACTTTCAAAATTCATGAGCATGTGGTATATCGTTTCCTTGTTGCATTGAGAAGTTGTTGAGATGTGACATGCATAAGTTTGGTGCATGATATATATATATATATATATATATATATATATATATATATATATATATATATATATATATATAATCTATATCAGTGAGGCTTTAGAGGACCCCGTTTGGACTATGTCCTCTCGGATGAAAGTTATGGACATTGCGGTCCCAGTATATGTAACGCGGTGTATTCCCACGTTACGAGGTTAGAGACTGCCCGCCAGACTTGGAATCCTGGTTAGGGGGTGTGCACACTAAAGGTACGATACCTGATTCCACAGAGAAAGCAAGAAAGAAAGAAAGATAAAGAACCAAGAGAGTGGTTCTGTGGGCGAGTTGAGTATGTGGCCGGCTAGATTGCCGAGCCAGTTAGGTCCATTCATGATTCGTGAAGACCTACCTCCCCACGAGTTAGAGGTTCCATAGTTACGGATGTGCGCGGATGCACGAGATTGCACCGTACGCTAGGGCTTCGCTACGGCGGAGTACCTGCCTCGCACAAGAAGAGAAATAAGAAGTATGAGAAAGTTTGAGCAAGAAAGATATCGAGTCAAGAGACTCAAAAGAAAGAAAGCAAGCAAGTGACCTCCACATAAAAGTATTCTATTTTACAAACGAATGTATGAGTATACTTATAGTATTGCACGAGATTGCATAATGAGAATGTTTGCACGAGATTGCATAATGAGAACGTTTGCACGAGATTGCATTTGAGTATAGTATTGCACTAGCTTGCATATGAGAATGATTAATCGAGGTTGTATATCGAGCATGATTGCTTTAGTTACATTTTGATGTCTTACATATCCAGTTTGCATGATGAGAACTTGAAAGCATGAAGATATTTTCGTATTGGTTGTTAGTATGAATTTGACTGATAGCATGAGTTGGCTATGATGAGATTTGTTATGAGAAATATGTGTTGGTATATTTATGTTGATGAATTATTTATATTTGAAGCATGTGTGTTGATATTATAGGTTGTGAGCATATAGAAAGCTTGTGATGTATCTAAAGTTGTCTAAGTGTTGAGATTGCTTGATTGAGTTTGTAAACAAATGTTTTTCCAAAGTATATACTATAGTACTTTACAGGGTTGAGTGTGGTTATCTTTAGCTTCGTGCTAACGGGTGTTTTTCTACTTGTCTATGTGTTGTTTTGCAAAACCCCTTTCAGGTGGGCCCAGCGTTGAGAGATGATCGAGTTAGACTAGCTTAGTAGATCTAGTAGTCTAAACTCTTAGTATTGTCATGATATTTATTTTGATGGATTTGTAGACTTCGATGTTAGAATTCGGGGTGTTTTTCCCCTTACGACATTTAATTAAGTAATATGAATGTTAGTTTGGTTTATTGTTTTAGTTCCATCCTTTGCCTGTGCAATCACCATGGAGTGGTGGTTGTGGCGGTGACATTCCCACTGGTTTACTTATTAAGTTGTTTATTCGCTGCTTAGTTTATATTAATTGTGGTTTTAGAATTGTAATTAAGATTAAGAAAAGTGGGGTGTTACATGTTGACTGTGTAACCGACATTTTCGAGCTAAGAGATGCGAAGCTGATCATGAACATACCCATAAGCATAAGGTCACCTTCAGACTCATGGTATTGGGCACCTGATCATAAGGGCAAGTATACCGTGAAGTCCTCTTATAGGCAGCAGGTTGGTGAAGCAGCGGATACGCGGCCTTGGGCGAGGATCTGGACCTTGCATGTTCCTCCAAAGGTGAGAAGCTTTTGTTGGCAGCTTGCTTCTCATTACATCCCTACTCGTGACTTTCTCTTTGCCAAACGTGAAACGCCGATAATAGAGTCAGAACAAACCTCAGCCGACACTTCGAACCAGTGGTCCCCGCCATATCGCTATACCACGGTCCCTACCGACGACCATTGCTACGTGGAATTGAAGAACGAAGGTGGAAAGCAGCCAAGACGACGCGATTTGCGGAGATCGTCTAAACACCTCATGCGAACGGGGAGCGAACGAAGGAAGGAATGGAGAAAGAAACACCAGGCGCGTGGAATTGAAAGACTAATCTGACTAGGTTTCTACTACCGTCAAATACCATAATTACCCCTCTAAACATAAAAACTTAATAAAATAAAACTAAAGCCACTCAGATAGCACGCGCAGATTATATCCATCCAAACTTAAAATCCAACAGCCCCATTTAATCCACACGTTCGTATTTTAAGGTGTGTTTTCACCTGAATGTAACTCTCTCTCTCTCTCTCTCTCTATATATATATATATATATATATATATATATATATATATATATATATATATATATATATATATATATATATATAGAAGGGTTCAGGTGTGGAGAAGGTTCCCGTGCGGTTGTGCGAAGGACGCATCTTAAGCATTAAAATGACGCACCTTAAGTACACAAACCACGCACCTTAAGCACATAAACAAAACACCTTAAGAACACAAATCACGCACCTTAAGAACACAAACCACGCATCTAAAGTTTTAAAATGGTTCACCTTAAGTTTCACACAACCGACGCACCTTAATCATACAAATCACGCACCTTAAGAAGGAAAACAACGCACCTTAAGAAGGAAACCCACGCACTTAAGTTGCAACAACTGCACACATTAAGTACACAACCCGCGCCTCTTAAGCACAAAACTCACGCACCTTAAGTACAAAACTCACGCACCTTAAGCACAAAACCCACGCACCTTAAGCACAAAACTCACGCACCTTAAGTTTCACCAACTACTCACATTAAGTACACAACCCACGCACCTTAAGCACAAAAACCATGCACCTTAAAGTTGGCCTAGATGCAAAAATTACCAAATTACCCCACATTTTTTTAAATTATTATTTAAATTTTGGTAATCCTGGACATTGATTTAATCAAAATCAACGGCTCTCCTCTCACGCACAACTGCACCTTCGCGCACTAACCGAATTTGAACACACACACACACACACACACACACACACACACACACACACACACACACACACACACACACATATATATATATATATATATATATATATATATATATATATATATATATATATATATATATATATATCTAAAAACAAAGTAAGTTTCAATATAGTTATATCTTTGGTTTTTGTCTGTTTTTAACCTGCTTACTTTCTTGTACATTATGCTTTTAATGTTGTACAATACATTTTTATTGACAAAAATATCCAGTATATTCTGTTACTGTTAAAGTTGATTAAAACAACCGTTAAGTATAGTACAAAATGCCAAATCCATTTTCCTCCACTCATTTTCCTTCCTTATTTCCCCTGATTCATCCGCTTATCTTATTTACCCAAATTGCAATCAATGATCACAATAATCTTCCACTCATTTCTTGGCTTTGTTTCCTCTCATCATTCATCCGCTCATCTTCAATCAGCGAAATCTTCTTCATTACCTTCTCAACAGCGGGGAGAAGAGCTACAATCAACACCATTCAAGGGGTATGAACATGAATTTTAGGTAAATTTATTAATATTTTTATTAATTTCATATAATTAGATGCTGGTTGGTCGATTTGGGAATGACTCCGATTCTCAACTTGTACTAAAAAAACCATAGGAAAATGCGCAAAGGGGTAGATGAGATGGGAGGTTCAACGACAAGAATTTTGAAATCTTTGTTCACTCCCCACCCCCAAATTAAATTGCCTTTGGAGAGTGGAATCAAAGCAGTGAGAAGATCTTGGATTTAAATGTTCGTGTTATATAAAAAATAAATAAAAAATAATTTTATATAAATTAAAAGTGAAAAGCGTTTCACAAAATTAGACCTAATTTTATGTAATTGGAATATATTCGAATGTGTGTGTGTGTGTGTGTGTTTTTTTTTTTTTTTTTTTTTTTTTTTTTTTTTTTTTTTGGATTGCAAGTTTATCTGTTCATATACATTGTACCATTTCATCAAGATTTCACCTTTAAAACATTGACCCTCTAGAATTTTGCAGCACTCCCTTTTGTTTGCTCGTAGATTACTTTTATTTTCCTTTTTTTTCTTTTGCTCTACTGGGATTTTTAAAAATAAAAATTATGCTAATTTTATTTTTCATTTAATGAAACCTTAGTGTTTATAGCTTACATGATGATATTCATGTAATCCTTTACTTGATACCTTATGTCAGAATGAAAGGACAAAGGTATGGATATTGACTTTAAATGAATGGCTGCCTTATAACAATACTGTTTTTTTCAGTTATGAAGTTATTTGTTATTTTATATAGATTGATGACTTGTTTGTGTGTGTGTGTGTGTTTTTTTTTTTTTTTTTTAATTATGCCATTTATCTGATTTGCATAGTTGTACCAGAAAATGTTTAATCGTTTTGAAATTAACTATTTTCACATTACATTTTACAATAAAGTTGTTGCAGAAAATTTGAGATAAGCGTAGAATGACAGTTGCGAACAAGGTGAGAAAAAGAGAGAATGACAGTCCGAAAAAAGAAATTACAGGTACACACCTATCGAACGTGGAACGGGCGAAAAAGCAGAGAGAGTGAGAGTGAGAGAGAGAGGACGCCTGTGCAGATCATAGTTTGTATGTTACCATCTGATACTTGTTCCATTTTCACTGTCCAATTTCGCCGACGCCTTGCTGACATACGCGCCACCATCTCTCCCCGCCAGGTGTACCGCCTTCCAACGTAACTTCTATACCTCTGGATTTCCGTCTGTGTTTTGTTGTATTTGTTGAATCTTCGCGTAAATCTATCTTACTTAGGGATCGTGATTCTGGTTCTGCACAGTGTATTGCATTATAGCTGATGTGGATGCGCTTTTGAAGCTTTGATTGCAGGGGCGAATTTTAAGGGTTATACATCGATGATTGGAATCACATTTATATAGATACGTACAGGAGCGAATTGAAAAGAAAGGATGGCAGCTCCACCGGCTAGGGCTCGAGCGGACTAAGATTATCTTATAAAGTTGCTCCTCATTGGCGACATCGGTTAGTTTCCTTCTTCCATTCACATTTTCTCACATCTGCAATTTCGTTATCCCTTTAGATATTCAGAGAATTGCTTGTTAATGTTTGGCATTTGTTATGCCCGCAATGGTTAATTCATCATTCCATGTCTAAGAGGTGATGAGTTCTTTTATGGATTCTATATGTTTCAACAGTTTGTGTTGTGTAATTCCTTTTACAGTTTTGCTTCTGATCGAAATGTCTTTCTATCGGCATGGTAAGTGTATTTTAGTATGGTGGATCAACTACATGTACCAAAAACAATGGTGAATTGAAGTTTATTTTTCCCTTGTGTTTTATGTGCTCTTTACCCATTATAATCATTACTTATAGCAAAGTTATTTAGTTATGCTATACCTAAACTTTTATGCCAAACGCCAGCGCGGTTGGGGACAATGGAAAGGTGAAATCTGGGAATGGGAATTTGGAGTTGAGGAAAGTGTTCCGAGCTCGGCTTTTAGATTTCTTCAAATCCCATCCAGAGGTATGCATTTACTTTTTGATGGCGTAATGATTTTCTGCATCGAGCTAATATAAGCGAAACTTGATGATGACAATTCAAGCTTTATTTGTTATTAGCTTTCTGTTGTGATTAGCATTTCATGGATATTGTTTGGTGGAATGAACATTGTTGCAGATTGTTCTTTTTAATGATTTGCAAATGAATGGTTTTTGTTGACTATGATGTTTGCTTCAGGGAGATGATATTCCAGAGGAGGAATTACCACATCCGTTCAATCAATCAAAGCCGCCAGTGCCTTCTGGTTCGGGTGGTGAGGCGAGAAATGAAGCTGTGTCTGAGATTGGTGGCATTGTCGTCAACCTGTCTAAACCCCCGGCTTCAGCGTCCCACCTCTCTCGTTCTTTCAGACGGAGCTTCTCCCAGCGCTGCAGGGCGGAGGACACCAAGCAAGAACAAACGGTTGCTGTCAATCTTTCCCCTGAGAGGAAAGCTTCTAAATCTTGTGCTGATTCGGGTGTTGGATGCTCGCCTAATGCTGCTCCTGTGAAGAAGGATTTGCGTCTCTCTAAAGTCGAGGAAGGTTCGTTCTTGAGTGCTGAAGGAACACCAACTAAACTCGCATCCACCCCAGCAAAATCGATGAGCTCCACACCTGCTCTTCGACCTCCCAAGAGATGTTATATGACTCCAGAAGACAACGATTCAGCTAAATCTCCAGGAGCAGCATTAGGACCTCCCAAGAGATGTTATTCGGGGTAAAAATACTTGCTCTGGTTTTAGGACCTTTTAGATTTTTAATTGCTAGGATTATCTAACAGTAATTTTCTTCAGTTTTTATAACATCAAATTTTGACTAAACCAACGTCAACATATTCTTTAACATATATATTAACTTATAAACGTCAATAAAATAAATAAAAAATAATATACATCATTTTTTATGACAATTTTTTACTAAACCGACGAAAAAAAAATATTAGATATACATCAGTTATTTTTAAAACGGACATCTTATATGGGCTATAATGTTAGTTCCCTGGGCAGGTTTGCTTTGCAACATGCTTTGATCCTAATAATATTTTTGCTGAACTTCAAGCAAAAGAAGAAGGATTTTGAGCCTAAAGTATACATCTGTTGATATAGTTTATTGGTAAACTTATCTATAAAATAAAAACCGTTGTTGAAATGTTGTTTTAACATGCAAAATTAATTAATAACTTCTTCGGCTCTTCCTTATATTCAGTGAGGTGAAAGATGATAATCTCCTGAAATCAGTTGATATTACATAAGGTGACCACTGACCATACACAATCTTTGACATTGGTAAAAAATCATTTTATTAGTAAATATACAATACTATCTCAGGAATTTACAATTGAATTATAAGGCTTTCATTAAACTTTTCATCAAAAAGAACCTTCGGCTTTTGGTTCCTTAAATAAATTATTTTCTTAACATTCATGTTATTTATTTTTATTTTAAATTATTCAGTTGTTTAAATGTAATGTTTATAGTACATATGCTCTTAAATGTTTGCTAATGGTAAGTTAACACATGACTTTATTCAGGTTTGGATACAAGATGTGATGCCTAACATAGAAGGGATGTAACTCTTACTGGAAGAAAAAGATATTTAAACAAATTTTACATCAATGTGCTTTCTTTATAAAATACGTCATTTTACATGTAACAGAAAAGGTATTCTCAAACAAAACAACTACTATTACTTATTTTTAGATGTTCAATTCAACAAACAACATAACCTAAAAACTACACTGTCTAATAGTTGCTTTGCCACTTCATTTTGAAAACTTGTAGGACCAGTAAGCAACATACTTTTATGAGATATTAGAAACAATGAAAAATACATGTTAACTAAATAACACAAGGAGAAAATAGTTGTAAAATAACGTTCAATACCCTTAAAATTACAAATGTATATATTCATCATAATCAATTTGTATTTCTTGTGTAAAAATTCAATACATTAACAAAATAAACTTTATGTGAATATTTATGAAACTTCGTCAAAAAAAAAAAAAAGCACTTCACAAATGTAATTTATCAATTTCAAAATGATTTACTAATCGAGTTTCAACATTGGGCACAAGTTTGTATGTATGTATGTATGTATGTATGTATGTATGTATGCATGCATGCATGTATGTATTGGATTATATGAGAACAAGTTTGTAGGAGAAAACTAAGAACTATTCACAATCTTACATCCGGAAAAATTGAACGCACCAGATCAAATTTTTTAAAAAAATGTGATGGCAGTTTTGTAATTATGATCAGTTTTACTATACAAACATGTACACTAAAATATGAAATATTTAGACTTTTCCATGTTTGCACATTTAGTATTAACGTTATGCAGATTTAATGTTAACTTTTTGCATATTTAGTATTAAAAGTTTGCACTTGCAAAAATGCGAAAGTAAATTGCAATAGGGTTTCGATTTTAGAGTTTTATGACTGAGTTTTTGATTTTATTTGGTCCAGTGGTTCACTTTTTACTACTTAAGGTCTAACATTTACGGTTTAGATTTAAAATTTAGCTTTTTAGTTGATTTTATAGAATATACCAAGTTTTCATATTTAGTTGTTAAAGATTGCATATTTAAGTGTTAAAGTTTTCACAATGGAATTGATGTTAATTACGAAACTACCACCGTGTCTTTTTATAAAATCTGATCAGATCCGTCGAATTTTTACAGATGTAAAGTTGAGATTGGTTCTTATTTCTCTCCTATGAAAGTGTTCTCACAGGATCCATAGTATACACACATGCGCGCGCACACACACACACACACACACACACACACACACACACACACACACTAGACTTGTTCATCATATTTTGATGACAGGATGCTTGGTTGCTTCTTCTCCTATTGGAACATGGCATTGATTTGGAGTATCCCTTGGGAAAAAGATCTCTTGATGGTCATGAATATTGTCTTCTCACTATAGATTGCATATAGTATCAATTGTAATACTCCGACACCACATCCAATGCCATTTGGTACCTTTATTATCATACATATATGAGTAACATGTAATTAATTAGACGAAGGGAAATATTAGAAAAATTGTAATTTATGTACCTCAGGTATAAACTATTTATAAATGTCACCCCTCAATTCCAAGCGACATAAGTAATGTCCCTCTTAAGGAGCATAAATTACAATATATAGGGACAATATATAATTATATTTTGACAATTCAGAGGCAATATTTATACTACTTAAGATTGAGATGTAACATTTATAATTAGTTTATATTTGAGGGACATAAATTACAATTTCCTTTTATATATATATATATATATATATATATATATATATATATATATATATATATATGTATATATATATATATATATATATATATATATATATATATATATATATGTATTTATTAATGATTAAGCATGCATAAGATTTGGAAGTGCTAGCTTACATAAACAAAAGGGTCCTTCTCAAGGAGGCCAAAAATGAGCCAAGCAGTGCCACATAGGAACATGGAGAAAGTTAAGAGGAATGGCATGAACTCTACACTCTTTGTCTTCATCACAACCCTCTGCACTCATCAAATATTCTATCTGTTTACATGTCATACTTTGAGGAAAAAATCAGTATTTAAATTTCAGAATTATTTCTCAACCGTTAATGTAGTCTCTAACTTTCAATTTCGGGGAAATCAACGATTTGGTCCCTCAGTTGTTGGCGAAATGTCAATGTAGCCCCTCAATTCCATATTCATCGATTTAGTCCCCAAAAATAATTATTTTTAGTCGATTTACCCCCTTTGGCCGTCTTTCGTCAACCAGCCGGTGAAAACTCCGATTAACCATGGACAATTTGGTCTTTTCACTTCTATTTGGAACAAAACCATCCCAGCTTGTCCTTCTCTTCTCTATTCCATCATCCAATCTTCTCTCGCCGCTCGCCTTATCTTCCCCCTCCATTGTCTTCGTCGGTCTAAGATATCAAGCGCCAAATTCTCATTCTTCGTACAGTATAGGGCTCTGCATATTCTGAGAAAATGCTTTTGAATGTTTGCCAGCCATGAATTTTCTTCTCTGAGTTTCAGTTTAATTTATTTGGTCCTTGGAAATATATGAAGTTGTTCATGGCTTCTGTGCAATTTTCCTGCCCACACCCTTGAATTGATGGGGGTATTGGAAGCAACGATTTTTCTTCTTAATTGACAAGGCTAATTGGCAATGTGACTCAAATTTTTGCTGGAATTTTTGCTCAAATTGATGGGGGTAATGGAAGCAAAGTTTTTCATTTTGTGTGTTTCAACTGAGAAAAGTTATACTGTATCTGCAGTGGTAGAATTTGAAGAGGTTCTGGTTGAATTGAATTGCAATTGAAAATGGAAGATGAAATATTTTCTGGCATTGCCAATGGGCTCAAATTGGATTCCAAAACCCAAAACGATCAGAAAACAAAGTGACTTTGTTTCTTCCCTCTCCACTTTGTTCAAAATTGTTCTGCTCATACTGCTTCCAAAACTCAAATTGGATTCACGTTTTTCCTTCTTTCCAAATCCACTGCTCCTCTCCTCGCCTTGCTCTCATCTCCATTAACAATCTTTCCATTTCTCTTCGCCACTACGACCCCGGCTCCACCTCCCTGCTCCTCTCTCCTGCTTCTTCTATGTATCAGTCTCGCCGGAACTACTCTATGTCGATTTCGGTGAGATCCATTTCTCTTTTCGGGTCTCGGGCTCTTCCTGCTCCCGCTTATCGGCCCTCCGCCCTTGCTGGACCGCTAGCCTCCCCAACTGTTTTCCATTTGCTTTATGAGGAGCGAGAGAGAACAAGAATGTTGTGATTTTCCATTTGTTTTCTGATCGTTTTCTCCATCGGAGCTGTGATTTTCCAGTCAAGAAACAAAGCACTGGACTCCTCCGGTCAAGAAGATGGATGAAGATTGGAAATGACCAAAATGCCCATGCTAAATTGAACCTCTCACAGGCTAGTTGACGGAAGACGGTCGGAGGGGGTAAATCGACTAAAAACAATTATTTTCAAGGACTAAATCGATGAATATGAAATTGAGGGACTACATTGACATTTCGCCAACAACTGAGGGACCAAATCGTTAATTTTCCCTTCAATTTCAATTAGTTTGATTATCAAATTGTTTAAAATTTTGTCAATTAAACCCTTATGATGGACCAAAATGATGATTTCCCCATTTTTAAAATTTCATCACTTTGATCCTCGAAGAGTTTAATTGACGAAATTTTAAACAATTTGAAGATCAAATTAGTAGAAATTGAAAACTATGGACTACATTGACAATTAGGAAACAATTAAGGGGCCAAAATGATAATTTCCCCTACTTTGATTCATTCAGAAAAATGTGAGTCTTAGTTTTTATAAGTATGTTTCTTTTCATCGTTTTCCAATAAAATCAAGACACATGACAAGAGTTTTACTTCATTGGAGTTTACTTAATTATCATTTTACAATAAAGAGCAGCACAAAAAATGACTAGTGATTAAGGTTGAGAAAGGGGAAGATGAGAAGAGCTTACAATGACGGATAGAGGCGAGAAGAACATAACGGCAATGGAGATTAAGGAAGCGAAACCGCAAAAGAGGCGTCTGATTCTCCCATGTAAAACAAGCACCGAAAGAAGCGCAACAGCAACGAATATTCCGACCACTAAAATAAGGAGCGCTCCCATTTTTTTCTTTTCATTCTTTGGCGCAAATACTATAAATATGACCACAAATGCTAACTCAATTACCGTTCCGATTCCATCAATTGTTGTCATAAGTATGTTGTTAGCCGACACAAAAGGCAACCCATACCTGCCATATATTATCGCATACCAAATAATAATAATAATAATAATAATAATAATAACAAGAATTTAAAAAAGTGATAAGTGTGAATGAAAGTTGTATCTTTCATTTATATTCATTTTTTCCGTTACTTTAAAAAAAAAAATTTATACATTATACAAGAGTTGAACTATACAATATTTTAATAAAAAATACACTTACCGTTATAATTTCCGTTATCTTTTCCATCTATTGTTGTCATCCACATGCATCCACTATATATTTTTTTAGGAATAAGGGTCAAATAGGCCATCAAACTACACACCAAAATGAAATTAGGCCATTGAACTAAAAAAAACATACAATTGAGTCCCTAAACTAACCAATTTCATGCAATTAGTCCAATTTGCAGGTTTTTCAGATTTCTAACAGGTCACTCCAATTTTAAAATGTTTTTTAAAAATAATTATTTACAGCTAATTATTTAATTTTTTTTAAAAAAAGGTCTCTATGTCGGAGACGAAAAAGTTTCTTCATCTCTGGCCACGGAGACGAAGAAACCTTTGTCTCTGGCCGGACTCTTCGTCTCCGGCCAGAGATGAAGATGGCTTCTTTGTCTCCGGCTAGAGACGAAAAAGGTTTCTTCGTCTCCGGCTAGAGACGAAAAAGGTTTCTTCGTCTCCGGCCATGGATACGAATCCATGGCCAGAGACAAATCCAGGGCCGGAGACGAAGAGATTCTTCGTCTCCGGTCATGGAGATTCTTCGCCTCCGGCCATGGAGACCAAGAAACCTTCTTCGACTCCGGCCAGAGACGAAGGTTTCTTCGTCTCCGACATGGAGACATTTTTTTTTTTCAAATAATTAGTTTTAAATAATTATTTTAAAAAATATTTTAAATTTGGAGTGACCTGTCAGAAACCTGAAAAATCTGCAAATTGGACTAATGACATGAAATTTGTTAGTTTAGGGACCCAATTGCATGTTTTTTAAGTTCAATGGTCTATTGTATTTTGGTGTGTAGTTCGATGGCCTATTTGGCCCTTAATTTTTTTTTAAATTTTTTTTTTATCTTCTTCAATGATAGTAATATAGACATAGTACTATATAAGTTATTTCCTAAAATATAAATATCAAATTTATAAAAAATGGTTTACAATACTATTATTATTATTATTATTATTATTATTATTATTATTATTATTATTATTATTATTATTATTATTATTATTATTATTATTATTATTATTATTATCATTATCATTATTATGAAATAATATAATATTAAAGATTTTAATATAGAGTACTAATATTGAGCATTGATTTTTGCGCATCGCGCACAAAAAATAATTTCCCTACATTTTGGGTGGAACAAAGGACCACTCCACACCCAAAGTCAAGGATCAAACCCTTAACATTTGGTTAAGGATGGATGAACTAGTCCCTTCCACTGAACCACCCAGGTTGGTGTTGTTGTTGTATAATACATTTATAATGCACAACAAAAACAAACAATTAATTAAGGATAAATTAGAGATTAACAAAAGAAAACGAATCCAAACAAAAAAAAAAAATCTAAATTAAAATGTGGTTATCTAATTATGATCATATGTATGAAAAAATCAACATGGTCAACACTTTACTCCTTAATTGAGCCAGTTTGGTGCGAATAGGAATTATGTTGAGTATGATACGGGAAAAAGGTTCCTCCCACTTAGGGTCTGCTCAGGACACCTCATGGCTTGACCAAAAAAATTATGATCATACGTAGTGTTACTTTGATCTAAAATGAGGTTATGAATTGTTAGTTTGAGGTAACAATTCCAACAAATTAATTAAAAATATAATTTCTTAATGCAAAAAATTAATACCAAAGTTATTACTTCAATATGTTTAATTTGGTGTTGATACACAAAGAAGTAAGTCATTAAGTAAACAATAGAAATAATAGAATGAAGTGTTCAAAGAATTTACCAAGCACTAAGCAGGCAATTGAGCAAGGTCATGACATAGGGCAATCCAGAGAACTCTTCCGTACTCCTTTTCTTGATGATCCTCTTGAATGTAACACTAGAATTTGTTTAAGGAACAGAAAAAAGAAAAAAAAAAAATCAAACATCAAGAAAATTAAATGTTGAAACTAGCAATAATGTAGAGAAAGAAAAAAAATCTGCACAAATTTCAAAAATTTTAAAATTACGGACATTACAATGCCATATATAAAAATGTTGTATTACCAAAATAAAAAGTAATGTGTATATTTATAAGCTTAAACCCCAAAAATAATGTGTATATTTATAGTTTTCAAATTTTCATGGGTTGGGCAAATTATGCTTTTCGAAAACCGTCATAGTGAATATAGAGTTTAAAAATTATGAACATAGAGTTCTATAATTATGAACATAAAGTTCTATAATTATGAACATAGAGTTCTGTAATTGTGAATATAGAGTTCAATAATTGTGAATATGAAGTTTAAAAATTATCAACATAGAATTTTATAATTATGAACATAAAATTTAGTAATTATGAACATAAAACCGTGTTCACCTTGCAAGGTGGACACGGTTCCACGGCATAATAATTGCATAGGTTGTTGATGGGCCCTGGACCCTTGGGACTATTTTATTAGAAAGATCTTGATCCAAAAAGAATAAAAGTCAGCAAATTATTGTGTGGACCGTGGTCCACAGAGTTGTGTGGACCACGGTCATCATCGTGAAAATTATGAGTAAAACTAATGTACATTACGTGTTAGAATAATGTACATTATGTGTTAGAATAATGTACATTACGTGTTATAATAATGTACATTATGTGTTAGAATAATGTACATTACGTGTTAGAATAATGAAACATCTAGGGTAATATAATGTACATTATGTTTTAAAATAATGTACATTATGTTTTAAAATAATGTACATTATGAGTTATAAAAATGTATGTTGCAGCTAGACGCTTGAAAAAATAAAATTAAGCAAAATGACGTCGCTTTGGACCGTGGTCCACATAATGAACCACGGTCCACACAATAACTATTGATAAAAGTCTTGATGGAATTAAAGCATGTGCTCCATCTCAACAAAAAATCTAAGCTGATAGTTGGATTGCACATTAATGGCTATATGCTCTTCCAAGCAACACATGGACCGTAGTCGCTTATGGGTGGTACTGATATTCGAACCCATGACCTTTGGTCTGGCTCTGATACCAAATTAGAGCATGTGTTCCATCTCAACTAAAAGACTAGGTTGATAGTTAGATTGTACATTAATGGTTATATGCTCAACAGGTTAGGAAGAAAGGAATTGAAGCATGAAGACTCAAAAGGAGAAAGCAAAATATTAAAGAAACTATATACAGTGGGTGCATGGTGATGACTCAAAATGGGGAGCAAAATATTAAAGTAACTATATCCAATGGGTGCATGATCATGGCCCAAAAGGAGGGAGCAAAATATTAAAAGAATTATATATCATGTGGGTATTGAACTCATAACTTCAATCACAACAACCCGCCTACCAACCTGCGAAGTTGCCCTATATCTTATTTTCTAAAGGGCAAGATGCTCTGCTTAGTCACGTAAAGGGTACTAATTAGAGAGTAATGGAGGACACGTGTATGATAAAAAATAGATAATTATTAAGATTAGAGTTAATACCCAAAATAGTCCCTCGATTATGTCGTAATTACCAATTTGGTCCTCGACTATCATTCTTACCCAATTAAGTCCTCAACTATACAATTTTTTACCCAATTTAGTCCTTTGTCAATTTGACTGTTTGTTGACTGTCAAAAGTGAAAATAAAGTTGTAATTTTACAAGTTTTCTCCTTCCTCCGCATTTAGCAGCACTAAACCATGTAGCAATAAGCTCCGGTTGGGTTCTAAACTTGTCAGTATCGAAGTAGTGGTTGTGCATCGGATAACCCATGAATTTGATTTTCAACGATTTTTTGACGATCGAAATCTGATCGGAGTGTATTGCTGCATGGTTTGGCGCTGCTAAATGGAGAGGAAGGAGAAATCTTGTAAAATTATAATTTTATCCCGACTTTTGACAGTCAACAAACAGTCAAATTAATACAGAGGACTAAATTAGGTAAGAATTGTATAGTTGAGGACTAAATTGGGTAAGAATTGTATAGTTGAGGACTTAATTGAGTAAAAGTTACATAGTTGAGGACTTAATTGGGTAAGAATGGTAGTTGAGGACCAAATTGGTAATTATAGCATAGTCGAGGGACCATTTTAGGTATTAACTCTTAAGATTATATACTTGTCAAGTATCAATAGGGCCTTTACATTATAAATAGACACCATTATTTCTCCTTTAGACCATGATCCACACAATATAATAAGGCAAATTATATTATGCACCGCGGTGCATAATAGATTATGCACCGCGCGTCTTTTTTTTAAATGAAAATAAACAGTGTTTGTTTTCGCCGTTTTGCACCCTTTTGCAAAAAGTAACTCTGTTATTCAGTGTCATTTTGTATACACTGCAGTTTCAGTTCAACACAACTACAGTTTCAGTTCAACACAACTATAGTTTCATTACGATATAATTATAGTTTCATTCGATATTTATAAACTCAAATATGTGAAAATGTTATTTAATTTTATTTTATATACACTATAGTTTCATTAAAACACAACTACATGATCATTTTGATATAATTACAGCTTCATTGTACAATATACACTCAAATATGTGAAATGTTATTCAGTTTCATTTTATATACACTACAGTTTCATTTCACTATAACTACAGTATCATTTTGATATAACTACAGTGTCGGTTTAGATATATTGTAGTGTCAGTTGGTGTTTAATACACCAAACAAGCGGACTCCGTTAACTCTAACGGCGAGCCGTTTCTTTACTTAAATAAAACGACATCGTTTTGACAGTGTTGGTTTAAACACACTGTAGTGTCTGCCACGCGGTGCATAATCGATTATGCACCGCGGTGCATAATATAACGACCCATATAATAATAAATGTTGCATAGCTTCC